ACTATCGCTGTCTTCACATAGCCAAAGCCTTTGTCTTGTACGAGTAATGGCTACATACAATTGCTTTAGCTCATAACACAAAACATCACGCTTTGCATTTGTAAAACTTGGATAAGTTTCTAAATTCAAAGCACAGAGCTTTTCCTCCACGTATTCATAAATAATTCTCCACTGTTCTCTTAATGGTGAGGATCCAAAGAAGTTATACAACAGCACATCCTGCAATAACAAGAATAGAGTGTTACTTGAACGGTCTCGATTTCTATTTGCAGTTAAAGAGGGTTATAATCAGACTTTGGAACGAGAAAACACTTAATATGGCTATAGGGATAATGATGGCTTTCAGTAACACGCTTAAATGCCGAGAAAGTAAGTATTGCAGTAGGCAATCCTGGAAATTCGACACTCCAAGAACAGTTTGACTAAATAATGCAATCCCAAAGGAAATTGCAACAAGAAGGGACAATAAAGCCATAAGCTGCGATTTCAAGACCAAATCGGCAAATCCCCCCACCCACCCCCTCAAAAAAAAAAAAAAAACACACCTTGAAACGAGGAGAGCATTGATTGCAGCAGATAATAAGAAGGCTTATATACAGAAATCAATATAGCTAGAGCAACTTACACATCCAAATAGAATGTACTAATATTACCTCAAACTCCAAGCCTTTGCACTCAAAGATTGTCAGCACAAGGGCCTGTCTGCCAACAAATTTGCCTACTTTGTCTCTCGCATGATCATCTCTGACCATTATCACCTGTTCGGATCCAAAGCTAATGCTATTGCTGTTGTCACCTTGACTTGCTTTGTCTTGAAAAATCTTTATGAGGGCATCTTCGCAATTTTCACAATCCAGTAGTATTGGAAGTTCCCCACATAAGAGACTAGTTTCCGGTTTAAGGGGATCAATAGAATTGGGAAAAAAATGCCAGATAAGGTCAATAACACTCTGAGCTAAATTTAAAACTCCAGCATGAGTCCGAAAATTTTGGCTTAGTTGAAAGGTAGGAGATATTAGCCCTTTAATCTTCTTTTGCTCATCTCCAACAACTTCCATATTATTGAGAAACTCCTCGTAGAAAAGCTTTCTTATATCCTCAAATCTAAAATCAATGCCTCTAGCAATAGTCTGCGCAGTGTCACCTGCAAATACAAAGCCTTCCTCCACATTACTGCATATGTACTTGAAGAGGGCAAGTTGCTTCATGGTTAGATCCTGGACTTCATCAATATAAACAAAATCCATGAGCTCACCTTCATAATTTTCACACTTAAAACGACAAAGCAGATCATTCACTAGATCAGCCAAATCAAATTCTCCTCGTACAACCTTCTTTTTCTCATAGTCCCCAAATACCTTATATATTACCTCTCTTTCATCCTCACTGAATTTTGATACTCGGGCCTTAGATAATTGCATATAACTCTGCAAACTCAGATTGTTGTTATCACCCTCCCCATAATGTAGCCTACCTTTTATACAGGAATTAATCTCGGTGAAAACTCTTAAAGGATCAAGCTTTCTTGTGAGCTGGGAGTTGAAATGAGGCCAATAAGATGATCTAAATTTCTCAAATGTAACCTCTTTCCTTCTTACTGCCTGAACAACCAGTCTGAAACTTGCAGTTTCCATATAACAGATTTTCCTAATATCCGTAAATCTATCAAAATATGACAAACCAAAGCTTCTATCAAGCATCAGCAAAAACATATTAAATGTTATCACAAGTGGAAAGGCATTTAAAGGAATATCTTGAAAAGACTCTGGGATGTCCTTGAACTTCTCATATTCATCCATTTCAATCACATCATTGAAGACACATCCCTCACCAAAGTTTTCTCCGTTAACAAAGCTGTAACAACCATAAGATAAATCAATAATGCTAGGAACACAAGCCAACTTTTAAAAAACGAGAATGAAAAGTGCATTTTCTTATAGAAGATTTTCTAAAAAAGGAGAATGAAAAGTGCATTTTCTTATAGAAGATTTTCTCCACAGGCAATTAATAAGTGCTGTAACATTTTATCAATACGGTCCATACTAGAGTACACCAGCAAGGTAAGCTCATTTGCACATACACCAGCATGGTAGCTCATTAGCATATGAAGTATATTATATATTGCAGGGGAAAAAGATAATGAAAAGGTTCACAGACCTCTTAAGATTTTTGATGTGGTGTTTGACGGCAAAACAAAGTTTTGGATTTACGGTCACAAAAAGTTGGCGAAGGGGCGCTCCCATTCTACCAGGAGCATTGGTTGAAAACTCACTCATCAAGGCGTCATGTAGATTTCCTTCTGAAACTATGTGATGTTGTTGTTCCTTTTGAAACAACTTCATCACCAACACTGTTGTTTTACCTGTGCCAGATCGTCCTAAAATGAAGGTGCTTTTGCCATTGAAAATTGCCTCTCTTTCTTGGTCTGATACCTCAAAGGGACATTCAAAAGCAACCCATCATACGCAGACATCAAGTGACTCAAGACACCCTCAGAAAATGGATAGAATTTCATAAGCAGCAAACTCTCCTTGACTTTTGCATTCTCAAAAAAGCTTGTTCCAACACTATCAGCATCCAAAGAACTTGTTGATTTTGCGTTATTAACAACTTTGAACCGTGCAACATCAAATGAAGTAAAGTTTCTTGGGAGTTCCAACTTCCTACATAAACAAACATAGAGAACATTAGGAAAAGATGGAAAGCCACATCTGGTGCTTCTTTTCATCTTTTGTCAACATTTTCTAGACGCACATACAAAGGTACAGATAAACAAAGGTAGTTTCTTTTAAGCTCAATGCAGCAGCATATTAATTCTTATGGTGCAGTTGTGTCGTCTAAGCACTTCAGTACATCTTTGGAGACTGATCGCTCACTGAATTTAACTTGTAAATAGAATGATATACAAATTATATAAAGAGAATATACCCCTGGAGACATTTTTCTTTGCAGCATGCAAGGAATTCATCAGTAAATGCTCCATATATTATGTCAAGTTTACTGACTAATGCTGGTACATCTTCCAAATGCAAGATATCCCAGACCTTCAAGATTTGAGTAGCATATCCCTGTAACCTGATTATATCATTTGTGCAAATGATATACCGACCCTCAACCTCAAATTGTTTTACAATTCTAACAGCACTTTCACAGACCAGATCAGTGTTCTTATTTTTTGGCCGCCAGCCATTAGCTAACTTCAAAATAAAATTCACCACAAGCTTCTTAGAGTAGATTGAGGGCAGCTTGGCAAAAGATTTGACAAAATTCTCACTGAAGACAACCTACAAATTAAAGGATTGTGAAAACTCAGTTTAATGTTGCAATATTATCACAAAATTCAACAGAATATGCATATTTCTGGAAGGATAGAGCAAAGGTATACCTTCCACCCTGAAGCTTTGAAAATATTATTATCCTTATCAAGCAAGTCTTCAAGTTCATCCAACTTGCTTTTAACATCTACAATGACTTTAGCTAAATTCTCGTCTTCTTCAGCATTAAAGTAACAGCTGTGCAGTTTGGCATCAGAAATAATATCTTTCCAGAAAGTATCTGCTTCAGCAAGGGTTTCCTTGTTCCCCAGTATCCAGAGGCAATGCCTACAATTGTTTAAAAAGAGGAAGAGCAGGTTTACTTGATTAAAAAAAAGCCAACAGAAACTATAATTAGTCCAGAGACATCATCCTAAGTCATACCTGGCCCTACTCGAAGCAACATCAGCCATTCCATGATCTAAGCGGAACTCAGAAGATCCAGCAGAATTGGATCTTACAGTAGATACTATAACAATATCTGCTTCGCCACCTTCCTGGAATCCTTCAACTAATTTCACCTTCAACTCAAAGTTTAAAAGCTTTTCATATCTTTTCCCAATTCTTCTCTCAATATCCTTAACTTGTGCTACACCTTGAGATACTATACACACAGAAATCTTTTGGCTGTAGCACTGCCATTCTGTGTACAACAGCAAAAACTTCAGGTATCATGGAAATCATCATATTGGAAAAAAGCTTTATAATAGACCAATCTCTAATCTTAACATCTATGTACATGTTTTGAGCAGATGTAAGAGCCACATTAAGAATTTGAGCAACCCATACCAAACCTAACTTATGTACAAAAAAGTTGACAAGGAATAACAGATATAGCCAACAACCTATGTTACTTGGATTCTTCATTTACCTCAAGTGCCCATGTTAGATTCTCAACACTTAAACATAAATAGGATATATTAATATATATGTGTTTAGGCCAAAGCCAAAATCATAGAAAATTTTCACAAAATAGCACACTTGGACACGTACCCATGTCAAACAAGAATACCCAACTCAGAACAACGGAGTGAACAACAACAAAACCACGAATCACCCTTACCCGTAACCAAGCTGCACGGTCCTTAAATATCGAGAAGCCCGGTTAGGGTTCGGACTCATCAAACACATTCACATAACATTTGTTGGTTGAGACTTGACATGCAAGTATGCAACCCACTATCAATAATAACTAATCACAATTTACACTACTCAGAGAACAGTCAAATACACACATAAAGGAAACAATCCACTCCTAATACGTTTAAAAGGGCGGTTTACCTTTGTGCAAACGTTGCACAATATTCATCAAAACTGCCACTTCAACCAGATTTCTAGTGTTATGCCCATCATCATCAACTTCTTCTCTTCCTTGAGAGATGTTTATAAATGAAAATGGACCAAATATTTTTCCTATAAGATTATGTAGCTTACATTTCTTACTTCTAACTTTTCTTGAAGAGAGCATTTGATCTCTTACAATTTTTTCAATCTTTCCGGATTCCAAATCCATAATTCTCTTTCTTCCCCTGCGTCAAATCATCAAGAACCAAATTCAAGTAAATATTAGATTTTATAGCCTAAAAAATCAAGTTGTGTTCAAGAAAATGATCAATAACAGACATGAAAAAGTTGAAATTACAAAGAATGAAACAAACCCAGTTCAAGAATGATGATGATTTATGTTGTGGGTGTTAAAATGAAGGAATTTTGGTAGTCATTTTGATTTATTTTTAAGTGGGATTTTCAAAAAATGGGTTTATTTTCAAGTGCGATTATTGATGATAATGGAAATGATGGGGAGAGAGATGAAACGTCACTACAGCTTAGCAGTTGTGGCACGGGGTACACTGCATATGTTTGCCGCCATTGATTATATTTATAACGTCTACTCCATAGTTATTTTTTGTGTGCACCCCGTAGTATTGTTCTACAATGTGTCATTGTGTACTACGCTAATACCCAATTCATACTCAGCTAGTAAACTTGGTTTAAACTTTAAACTACAAGGTATTTCTTCGTTTCTTATTTTTTACCCCATAGACAAATGTTACTTTATTAACTTTTAATTGGAAAAAATGATGAGAGAGAAAAGTAGTGGGTTAAAGGGGTGATTGTGAGAGTAAAAGTGTAATCCTATATGTTCAAAAATAAAATGGGTCGAAATTAAAATGACGGCCTAAAAAGAAAATTGAGGCAAAACAAATAAGAGACCAAGAGAGTAATTATTGAGCGATTTTTTCTTTTTTTTTTGTTTATGCAGTATGAGTAATTGTTGTTTTACATTGTGTAATATGCTAGTACCTCCATATTTTTTTTGTTAATCTCAATTATTGTATAAAATTGCCAAAAAAAAAAGAAGATAAGAGTGGGTGCAACAAAATATTTAGACGATGCAAGTGAATTCCGTAAATAGATAGGTGGAAATAAGAGGGAGCCCCAGTTAATCATCGTGATGAACAAAAATTGTTTATTTGGTGACATTTCTGTAAATAGAAACATATCAGTCAATATGACATTTTCGTAAGTAAATCAACATTTTCTTTATATTACAGGAACACGTCAAGGGTGTGGATTGTGATACACGCTAACTTAAACACACAAATAATTAGGTGTGTAAGAAGTAATTCTTCATAAAATTTAAAAGTTACGAAATACTTCGTATAAGAAATTAATGTAATAAAAAATCAAAAGCTAAATCAATCTTACCGGAAAGGGTGTAAAATAATTTTCTTAACACTTTTTTTTTTTTTTTTTTTTTTGCACTTAAGTTTATTTTTCACATTGATTTTTTGTAATGGATTTGAGAATGAGGTTGGCAACATAGAGCAAAACTAAGGAAACTAGAGCTTCTCTTCCTATTGTAAAAAAGAGGTATTTGACAAAGTTGGGCACGGCAGTCGGCAGGGTAGCACAAAGAGTATAGGACTCATGCAGTAAAGGGTATTATATATTAACATAAGATGGAAGTTAATGGTGTAAGGATTAAAGTGTTCAACTAACTTGCAATCAACCCACAATAGCAATGAACAAACAAGCATAACAATCAAGAACAACTTTGAAGGAATTAAAGCAAGTAAAAGGAAGACAATGTTACTGTGGGAAAACCCGAGAACCGGGAGAAAAAACCCACCCTTGCACTATGGAGTAATATTGATGATGAATGAACTCAAGAATTACAAGCATGAATTGTATAGAATTCAAATGCTCCTCACAAACCCTCTCAAAACCTCTCTATGTGTTTAAATGTTTGTGAATAATCAACAAAGAGGCTTAGAAAAGGTATATATAGTCTAGGTAGAAAATACAATCCAACGGCTAAGATTAAAGCAAATCGCACAAGCCGAAAACGAAGCGACGAAATAGGGAGCAGGGAGGTTCGACCGAACTCTGTTCAGCTACTGACTTAAAACCGGGTTCGACCGAACTTTTCACAAGTTTGGTCGAACCTTAACAATAAGGCAGCTTCTATGCAATCTCCTTATGTCTCCATGTATTTATCTATCTCCACACTAATCCTAACAAATGGTAATCCACTTCCCTGAGTTAAAAGATATAAGACAAGATGAAAGTGTTATCAATAACTTCAGCTAGATTAATGTCTGCTATTTCAGATATTTACTTGACACCAGGCTAGCAAACATAATTTAGCAACTCAAGCAAACAATGCAATTAGCTGACATTACTCAACAAAGATTGGAATTCAAATCTTTCACATATTAGGCAAATAATGATCTAGTTTTGCCCTCAGTTTTCGTGTGATGATGGAGCTTCGGTTCTTTACTTGATCATGTAGGATAAGGTTGTACCATTCAGTGGTAAACACAGCAGCAGCATACCATTTTGTCGCATAATACATTCGAGCAGTTGACACTTGACCCCATTGCCTTAAATAATCCGACTCCATCAAAAAAAGGGTACATTCAAAAATATGATCAACAATCCTACTTTTGCAAATCATAGGCATCGAATCAGCAGAAAACTTCTGAAAGATATTCAGATACTCCAGCATATTACAGCCAACTGAGAGTAACTCTGAACACCAGTAATGTCGAATAGAAGTCACCAAATGTTCTGTGCCAAGTCTTTGATTATTCTTTTTCGGATATTTCGACACCCATTCAGCATCAGGATAGAGCATAAAGTAACCAGTGTTTGGATGCTTTCGCACGCCAAAATAATGTAGACAGAAGTCCCAGTGATTATCATGTGCTGGTAAACTCTTTAGGTGTTCCAAGGTTGTCAAAATCTTCTCTTTCCAGGATGACCAAAAGTATATCAGTTTTTCAACTGAGACCTGGCCACCTGAGATCATTTCTCGCGAGTCAGATTCCCATTTAAATGGTGAAGTCTGAGTCTGAAGAAGGATTTCAAGAATTTTTCTAGTACATATGACCTCCCATTTCAAATTCCCGCTTTTTTGGGAGACTTCTAACTGCTTCTCCAGTTCAGACAACCCAGTACTTTGAGTTGACAAAAGCAGAACTTCTGTATGAATTTGTTTGTGAAAATCAGCTGAAGCATTGAGAGCAGAAGCTTCAGCTCTGGACAACAATTCCTCTTTCAACAAAAGATCTCTTTCGAGCCAATTTTTTCCACCAGATGCCCAACAACATTTACCAAACACGTACCAAATATAGAGCCTAGAAGCATCCTCATAATTCTGAGCCTTTTCTAATAAATCTGCCTCACGTAAAAATAATCCTACTTTTCTTGCGATTCTTAGACCCTCTTGAATATCGCCCATTTCTATCTCTATGTCAATTCCCTCCTCATAACACCCTTGATTCCATAAGAAGGTCCTCATTGAATCAAGAGAGCTAAATTTCTTAACATACTTCATCATTTTTTTCTTGTCTTTTTTCTTATAGGAAGCATGAGCACAACTCTTCAGGAATTCTTGCTCAAATGTTATCAAGTCTATGCTTCCCTCCTCAAGAGCCAGCTGTTTCCAGCTTTGTACGTACTGCAATCCTAAGTTAAACAATTTTCCTGTATTACATGCATGCAAACATTCTCTGTAGAGGTAATTTTCAGCATAGATCTCCGCAGCACGTGCATGAAAACCGGCCAAGGTATAGCAATGACAAGCCTTTTCAAGCTCAGAACTTTGAAAGTGCTGCAGATATATATCACCTGTAAAAAAAAAAAGTTCAATAGCGTCATTTCTGGAAATAATCAGTTCATCTGGGTCAGAATTCAAGGAAGTAAACTTAAATGTGAACTCCATTGGGTTTTAGGCTACAATTTCAATCATATAGTAAAAGTTCATTTTCAGGCTTAGGACAAGGTTCACTAACTAGGATTCATACTGCCCATTATACTTTTGTTTCTATTTTTTCAATGTTCATTTGCAAAGGACTGTGTCAAAAGTCTGCTATGTTCTAGCGAAAGAATTCAAGGTATATCAGTAATAGTTCCAAATAATGGTTTCTAAAAATAGCAGAATACATTGAAATTAGTAACTGTTTTCACTACTACCTGCTCTTTCATAATTGCCTGCATCATAGAAGCACTTAGCGGCCTCTTTGTTGTTATCTAGGCTTTGAAATATTTCAGCAGCTTCTGTAAGCATTTTGACTGCTTCAGAACTCAAGCCACGCATATGAGCAGCGGTTGTTTTAAGGCCAGTAGCACGGGCGTATTTTTCCCAGTAAGTATCTCCAGCTCGCCCAAAGCAGACTGCCGCTGTCTCATAGTTACTTACTTCGAGAAACTGCATATAAAGGTGAATCAGGATGCAAGGAATATTGAAGACAAAATAAATAGTTACAATAGTTCAAGTATGAAATCCTGAGTTCCTGACTCAGATAACACCACACACTGATGGTGACACCTAGCATGATGCCAGCAATTATAGGTACATCTGATAAATGATTGAGCTATGATCCCAAAATCCTCAATGCTGATGCATTAGACTTACAAACTTACTAAATTTTAATATGAGCATCACATGGGTTCTCTAAAATCTATTAAACTAAGATGGTTAACATGAAATTGGAGGAGAAAACTAATAATGAATGTCTTCCAAATAAAGCCAAAAAACAAACCTTGAAACCTTGCGATTTCCATTCCTCCTTAGAGCTGGGAAATATTATTTCCTGAGCTAATGAATTGTCAAACTGTCTAATTCGGACCAGATTCAATTTTTTCCAGTAATTAGCCATAGGTTCTGCATGACTACCATGGCTCTCACAGATCCATAATCTTTCCTTTGCTCGGGTGACGGCCACATATAGTTGCTTCAATTCATGGCACAAACCACTATGTTTTGCATGATTGAACTTTGGAAAATGTGGAAATGATGAGCCAAGGTTCTTCTCTTGCATATATTTATATATTACACTCCAATGTTCTCTAATAGGTGATGATGAAAAGAAGTTGTACAAGAGAACGTCCTGTGATGATAAACATGTCACAGGGATAAGCTATTTCAGGATCACAGAATATCAAAGTGCATAGCTGGTATATTAAGCAACTTTTGCAACATAAAAATAAAAATAAGGCATCAAACAAAAACAATATAGAGTTAGAAATGTCAAGCGAGAACCTTATAACAATAATGAAGAAGTCAATGTCAAGAAATAGAAAAGCCAAACAGTTATTTACCTTAAACTCCAAGCCTTTGCACTCAAATACCGTGAGCACAAGTGCATGTCCTTTTACATGGCTTGGCATTTCATTTCTCACACTTTCATCTCGTACAATAATAACTTGTTCAGCTCCAAAAATGACAGTATTCCTGCCATCATTTTTATTGTCCTGAAAGATTTTCATGACAACATCTTCATCACCAGATGCAGACTCCAGCAGTATGGGAGCATCTCCATCAATAAGACTGAACTCTGGATTAACCTTATCAATTGAGTATGGAAAGAAATGGTAGATAAGTTTGATGACACTGTGAGCTAACTTTAAAATCCCAGCATGGGATCGAAAGTTTTGATTCAGCACAAAAATTGGGCAGATGTTTCCTTGATCCTGTTTACTAGTTTTCACACACGGGCCTTGGAGAAAATTGACATAGAAAAAGCTTCTGATCTCATCAAAACTAAAATCTACACCTTGGGCAATTGTTTGAGCTGTATCACCAGCAAACACATAACCTTCTTTGACATTCTTGCAAACATATTTTAAAAGAGAAAGTTGCCGCACAGTCCAATCTTGAACTTCATCTATATACACAAAATCCAAGGCATCACCTTCATACCTTTGATGGCTGAACCGATGATGAAGATCATTCACTACATCAGACAAATCATACTCACCTCTTGTAAGCTTCATCTTCTCATAGCACAAGAATATACCATATATGGCCTCCCTCTCGTTCCTACTTAAGCTTGACTTTTTGCAGTCAGACAATTGAATATAACTGTCTAAAGTGAGTCTACCCTGTTCAACTTTTATTCCACCTTTTATACAAGAGAGTATTTCAGTGAAAACTCTTGAAGGATCAAGATCCTTTGTAAGAGTCGAATTGAAGTGAGGCCAGTATGAGACACTAAACTTATCAAAGCTTACTTCTTTCCTTTCCATCATTTGCAGCTCAACTGATTTTAAGCTACAAGTTTGTCTAGTTTTCACAAATCTATGGAAATATGAGGTACCTATTGTACCATCCAGCATGAGCAGGAACTTCTTGAGAGATATCACAAGAGGATATGACTCAGCAGGGATCTCCCAGAAAGAGTGAGGAATATCTTCAAATAGTTGCGTCTCATCATAAACTTGGATGCAGGTTTCCTTATTCAAGATTTCTCCACGAACAGTGCTGAAGCATCAGTGAGGCCAAATTCAGTACGACAACAGATATGAGATTATCAATATAACAAAATAGCTTAGCATATAATCAAACATGCTCCAAGAGCATGCTCCTCAACATTATCACTAAAATTCCATTTGGTTGGACAGAAAACACTGCCAACTAGATATTGTTTTCCATGGACAAATTTGAAAGGGAAAATGCTACAAAAGATTAAGTATCCTTCTTTAGTACCTTAATAAAATTTAGAGAGAAGGAAAAGAATGGGGATGGTGGGAAGGGGATGAAAGGGAGGAGAGAAAGTAATCGGCAAGAAAAATAAGGATAATGCGGGAAGAAGAAAATGTCTTTGCACCCTTATACAAACCAAACGAATTCCTCCTAACAGAAAACACCCTAAGAGGTGAAACAATTACACATATGAGATTGACAATTGACCCGAGAACACAAATCTATTGAATACTGAATACACTCTTCTTCCCTAATATATACGACATTTTTCTGTTTAAATTCCCAGAGACAATGTGGAGTTGACAATGTCACAATTGAGAAATGTAAAGTATCTCACAGTTACCTTTGAAGATTGGAGATGTGTTGTTTTACTGTATGGCACAAGTTCGGATTAACTGTTACAAACAGTTGTCGCAGAATAGCGCTTCTACCCTCAAGCTTAATTGATGGGTCATCACACAAGGAAGCATCGCCATGTACCTCATCAGAACCACCCAAAGCCATGTGATATAGTTGTTCTTTCTGAAATAGTTTCGTGACTAACACCAAGGTCTTTCCAGTGCCAGACCTTCCTAACACAAAAGAGCTTCTTGGGTAATGAATTATTTCCCACTCGTTGTCTGTCACTTCCATGGGAAGCTCTAATGCCCTACCATCAGAAACAGAAATCAAGTGTTTCACTACACCGACAGATAAAGAGTAAAATTTTACTAGCAACAAGCTCTCCTCGACTTCTGCCTTGTCAATACATCTTGGTGCTACATCATCGTCATCTGATATACTTGTTCTCTCAGCATCACTGCAACTCTTGTACCGAACAATATTAGAGTTGCTGCTCCAGCATACGGGAACTTCCAGCGTACTGAGCATAACAAATCAATTAGATAAATGAGATATTGCCAAAAAGGATTAATCATTTCAACAAGATAGTTTTCCTAATTTCGCAATCTTATAGATGCATGTTGATGAAAATGTAACAAAAGAAAGCATACCCTTCAATACATTTTTTCTTGCAGCATCTGACAAACTCTTCAGTGAATAAACCATAGTGTTTGTCAATTCTCTTAACCAATTCGGCCACTGCTTCCAATGGCAAAATATCCCAAACCCTCATAACTTGGAAATATTCTGATTCTTTAACAATGTCATTTGAGCATATGACATAGAGGCCTTGAACTTTGAATTGCTTGACAATTCGAACAGAGCTCTCACAAGGAGGATCGACTTTGATTTTCCTTGGTCGCCATCCATTTGAAAGTTTGCCTATAAGATTAAACACATGCATCTTTGTTTGGCTTGATTGCAGCTTTGAAAATGATTTGATGAAATTACTAGCAAAGAGAACCTAGGAAAAATAACATGAGCAATGTTCAGCAACAAGAATAGGTAAGCCCAAACTGAAGTGTTTAAGGTTCAACTAAATTGAACATCATTAATTTGATAAGAGGAGTTACCCACCTTCCACCTTGCATTACGAAAAAGCACACTATTTCCGCTGAGCAAATCATCCAGCTGATCTAGTTCCTTCTTAACATAAATGATTGTTTCTGATATTTTTTCATCTTCATTAGCATTGAAAAAACATTTCCGCTCTTTAGCATCGGTGATAAAATCCCTCCAAATAAGGTTGGCTTTGGCTAAAGTCTTCCCATTTCCAAGCACCCATAGGCAATGTCTGGAATCAAGAATGTAAATTGGAAAATAACTAGTGTAGGAAAAACAGCAGTGAAGCCTAAAAATTATTTGGAAGTACTTCCAAGACATACCTTGCCCTTGTTAATGCAACATTAAGTCGTTGAGGATTAGATAAGAAACCAATTTCGCCAAAGTTGTTAGATCTGACCAAAGATAGCAGTATTATGTCTTCCTCTGCACCTTGGAACGCATCAATTGATTTGATGTTCACTGTAAAATTTTCCAGATTCGAAAATCTCTGACCAATCATTCTTTCAATTGCCTTAACCTGTGCAGAATAAGGCGATATTACACCAATGCTAACTTTTTTATTGCAGGGTGATTTGCACCATCCTGCAAACAAGAAAATGAACCAAGACTAAGAATGCAGCAATAAAGAATTTTGTAAAGGCCAATTAGTGTATTAGATAAATAGAGGCCCTAAAACACAGATTTTTGTATAGAATGCAAGTGTACAATGCATCCCAAAAGTAAAAATACCAATTCAAACAATGCAGCTCTCGATAAAGAATGTTGAACCTAGTGAAAAAATGTCCAAAGCTAAAATATAGATCCATTTTCCAGGTCACTAAAGCCTGGGGTAGCACACATTCCATCAAGGAGAAATGGTGCGCCAAAATAATAAATTAGTTACTTGCTGAACATCAATACTACACCGTAACCAAAAAAAAAAAAAAAAAAAATACTCGCACTACTAAAACAAGCATTATTTTTCATGAAGAAAACGGCAATATTTCACAGTTCGTTCCTGCTCCGATGCTGGAACTGGAAGGTATTTTTCCAATTGATAAGGAATATAAAGACAATTACAACAGAATTTAAAAAATTCTAGTCACGGATCAAATCTGCATTTTGCAGCACATCCAGAAGCTAATTTTTGTAATGTGTTACGAAACTGAGAAAATAAGTAGGTTGATCTTTCAAGATAAAAATTCTGTAAGCAACCTGAAAAGGGAACTATCCGCGTGGCATACCTTTGTAAAGACGAAGTACTATAGCCCGGACAACTGCTGCCTCAACCATATTTTTTCTGCTTTGTCCATTATCATCAAATTCTTCTTTTCCCTCTGTAATATTTATAAATGAATAAGGACCAAAGAATAATCCTTCAAGGTAACGTTTCTCATAGCCGTCACTCTTCACACTAGGTGCATCAGTAATTTTGTTGCTGTAAAACATCCTCCTTGGAAATGCACTTATTGAAGGGTGCATTCTGTACTGCATGTTTAGTAGGTGTTTTGACCAGCCTAACAAACCTAATCTCTGAAATAAACTTCGGCCAAAATCAACACTCGCTGAAATCTGCATCAAAAAAAGGAAAGGTTTCTGGATCATATAAACAATCATAAGATTAAGTAAAATTTTAAGAGTAAAATAGAAATCAATTTTAGACCGATATTCTTACATGACTTTTCACCATGGCCTGTAGCTGGTACTCATCTCCTGCAAGAATAGCATGCCTTAGATCGGGAAGTTGGAGTGGTATAATGGACTCACACTCCTTCAACTGCGCAGCTTCATCAATAACCACAACATCGAGTGATTTTATAGGCGCATAATACAATTTATAGGAACTTGAAGCCGTACAGAATAACAAGGATGACATTTGGAAACAGAAATCCGAGATGAAATCATAATTTGTCACTTGGGGAAACTTAAGTTTGCCCAAAGAAACAATTAGATTTTGTAAAAGATCAAAGCATTCATCTCCCTTCTTTTCGAGAAGACCTAGTATATACACAATAGACTTCTGAAAGACTCCACTACAAGGAGCCAACCCACTGAGTTGACCAATATATTGCAACAGCAAACTTTCAAAAGAATCAAGCAAATCATAAAGCTTAGTCAAGTTCTCAATATTGTGTTCCTGAATGAAACTTTTTGCCATATGGGTACAAAAGATTGAGATGCATCTCTTGACAGGACCAATTAGTTCATTGAACTGATCTCTAATAGAATTAAGAAAGGATAGAAGTTGCTCTGAATTGCCAAGGCACCTATTCTGACCATGTTGTCCAGTGAGAAAATGATCCTGTGAAGAAAAATCCTGGAATTCATTCAACAACAACGAGAAAGAACAGCGCCAGCCACTAATGGGGCTAAAAACCTCTGCTAGCTTCTTAACACGGTAGTCCAAATAAATATCTTCAATATCTGAACCTACATCTACCTGCTTCTTGCTCCCAAACAAAAGTAAGCTGCCCAATGAGCAAAACCTATTGTCTGAATTCCTTGCAGAACACGCTCTCAACAGCTCTACAACCTGACTAGCTAATGCAGTAATTGCCACATTTGTTGTGGCACAAGCCAGGCCTCTACAGTTAAGCCTTAGCAGAATGCATAGCAATGTGCTGATCATCTTAGATTTACCAGTCCCAGGAGGACCCCATACAAGTTCAACAGAAAACTTGTCCTTACACTGTATATTTTTCAAAGAAGCCGAAATTGCATCCTTCTGAGATGGGTTTAGACGTGGTAAACCCGAACCAAGTTTGTTGAGCCAGAAATGATCAGTTTCTGAACAGCCATTGCCATCAGTTCCTTTGTCCTGCAAAATTGAATAATATATTATAACTAAGCCTTAAATGGGTTGTTGCTATCAATTATTTATGCATTATAAAATGAAAATAGTCATATATAAGCATCCTAGTCCTAAATCAGCAACATAGATTTGTTCTAGTTGCCTCTCAGCTTCAAAATGTTATGATCATCATAGAATAATTACAGTCCAATCATTCTCCAAGTCGACTAATGTGCATAAACCTTTCTTTCTAGGATGATCCTAGTGATACAAATGACAAATAATATAACTATCATGAACATGTTGGCAAATGCGGAATAGAAGTTCATCAGCATTACAAGAACGAAAATACGAAAACTTCAACAATAAGACTGGAAGCATACCAAGGAATCACAGTGCAAGACCTTCTCGAGTAACTTCAAGTTCTCCTTCATGTGCAAAGCATTCCATATGCGTTCAAATGGAATCACATTAGTCAAAAATACAATAAGTAAATATTTATTTACAAAATCATTCATGTCAATCTCTTTAGACACAATCACTCTGATACAAGTAGCAGAAGTGTCCTCATCTGCATCATCCTGAGACATATTAACTACAGATGCTAGAACACATTTTCGCCCCGACTGTAGAACAGGTTCCTCAGCATCAAATTCAGAATCCATCAATACAAACACATCTCCTGGCAAAACATTATAAGTTTTGCTATCTCCACCAGCAGAATTAACCCTCCAATGATGAACCTTAACATTGTACAAAAAGTGTAATTTAGTATCTTTGGTAGCTTTACAACACGAAACTACTCTACCAAAAGGCGCTCTAGATAACATAGACAAATTTGAGCACAATTCGGCTCGTGCCTCCTCTAACAAAGGATACACAAATGCATCGAAATACTCGGTTGTCGATCGAAACAGACAAGGGATCTTCCTGACCTGTAGTTCACAAAATGCAGAGTCAACAACAGCAATAAAATCTTCTTACAGTATTTACTTGTTGGAATTAACTACAAATTAGTGAATCAACAACAAAATCAAATCTTTTGCCCTATCTATAATCTATCTAGGACTACAACTAAAGCATGCATGCAATTCATCATACAATTCAATTACACAATTTACAAACATAAAGTACCAACCATATAATATATTTTAAATAAGAGGAAATGAGGAACTAACCTTGTCATTGAAAAAGTTATCATCAAGTATATCATTAACTGACCATGAGATTAGATGATCAATAAAGGTAAAACCAGCATCATCTACATATTTTATCTTCTTCATTTTCTTTTCAAACTCTATATAATCAAAGAAAACATGCATGCAAAAATTTAAAAATTTAAAATAAAATAAAAAGACTAGATATTAAGAATGGATTGAACAAAGAAACACAAATAAACCCAGTTGTAACATTTCAATGTTTATAAGATTCTGGGTATTTTTTTTTTTTATTTATTGTGTTTTGAGTGGGATTTTTCTGGAAATTTGTGGGAATTTTGAGTGTAGAGTCGGGCAATTGAGATGAGACGATACAGATTACGAGTAGGAGTAATAACTAGTGCAGCTACAGTAGCTGTACAGTCGCAGAACAAGGTAGTGTAATCGTTTCCCGCCATTTTGTTCTACGTCACTACACTAAAGAGTAAAGACCATTAATTTTGTTGTTGTAACTTGTAATTGATCGATATAGAATGTGAAGAGTTGCTAAATGTAGAGCGCTTCTGAGTTCTAGGACCTAGAGTTGGGCACAAGCAAATATATAATAATGACAATTTTATAAATAATGACTTTTTAAGAGTACTAATGAGAGGCAATATTATACTACTGAACATTCTCAGTTGTCCTATATATGATTTCAGTAGTACAAAAGACACACTCTAAGTAGTACTGAAAAAAACATCTCAGTAGTACTAATAGGACTTTCAGTAGTACAAAAGACTGTTATGCAATTTTGTTTGTGTCTAACGATGATATATTAGGACTTTCTCCTAAATGTATGACATAAATTTCTTTTGAATAATGTTGTGTTTTTCCCGTTTATACTTTACTTTATAAGGTAGGAGACACACGTACATCGCGTGTATAGTACTTGTATAAGAAATCTATATGGCTCATTTTATTTTTTCCTGAAATATTATCTATCTTACTCTAATAAAAATATTAATCGGTTTAAAAATTATGAAGTCGTGAAGACTGAGACTCCCTTCCAAAAAAAATGGTAATTTTTTTTTTTTTAATGAATTGGTAGCTTTTAATTTTTTTGATAAAGGATTTTTTTTTAAAAAAAAGGATGGTAATTTATGTTTGGACAATGTTGGGCTAGACTGCTAGAGTGTGTTTTTAAGTGGCTTGATGGGTTGCAAAGTAATAGCCTAGATTTGTATTTGGGTGAATACTTAGCCTAGAAAGGCTTCATGTGGACATGATAGGGCGTCCAAGTCCAACCTTAAATCCAATGGCCTACTCCGTATTAATGAAGAACCTACAAGCTACCATAATTAATTAATCCATCAAACATGGGAAAAGCTTTCATAGATAGAGCCATACAGGAATGAACTCACAAAGTCAAACATGTAGCTCAGCCTAGGAAGATCGATTCATTTCTACCAAATTTATGTTCGAATTGAGTCAGTTTTATCAATTTTAAACCAAGCTAAACTCAAATAGATAACATTCGTTGAAAGGCTAACCACGCGTTTAACTCTTAATTCTCTTGCTAATAATTTTTTCTCAATCCAACCCCCATTTTTATCCATTAACTACTACTTCATGGTCAACCGACAAACTTTATCAAGAAATGTCATGTTGAATAATGAATGATATGACCAGCTCTCCAAAGTTGACTAAACTTTGCACTAAAATAGTAACAAGATAAACACAAAGATTAATATATTATTATGTCAACAAAACCACCCCTTAAATTATATATATATATCCCTCTAATATCATTCTTCAAAGCATCAAAAACACAAACTCTACACACAAAAAAATAAAATAAAAATGACAACAATGTTAAATAACAATATTAGCATATGGTTTTCATTTGTTGTGTTACTGATTATATATAGTGTACAAGTTGAAGGTCAAAACTGCCGAACAACGGGCTATTTTAGAGCCACAAGCCCTCCACCAGGAAAATGCAGCACCAACTGTTGTATCCAAAACACAGTTTACTTCACCTTTCAATGCTCCCCTTCAGTAACCTCCCAAACACCGGGAATGCTCACACTTAGAGCCTTTCAGAACAGCCAGTCCAAGTGTGACAACGCCTACCATACCGACAACTCACTGGTGGTTGCACTCTCGACAGGGTGGTATAATAGTGGGGCACGGTGTGGGAAGATGATCGCAATAAGTGGGAATGGGAAGACTGTGAAGGCTAAGGTGGTTGATGAGTGTGATTCTACAAAGGGGTGTGATGCAGGGGAGGGTTATCACCCACCTTGTGGGTATAACATTGTTGCTGCTTCTAAGGCTGTTTGGAAGGCTCTGGGGGTCCCACAGAGTCAGTGGGGCCAACTCAATATTACTTGGGCTGATGCTTAAGATGAAGAATATGTTATAAGATCTTTTATAATAGCAAGTATTATGAGCTAATGTAGTAAAATCTTGGTAAAATAAAGCTCAATTTCATCACAGCAAACAAATTATCATGTACTCAGTTCCACAAGAATAAAATCTCCCTGAAGATGCAAATGAGTCACGTCCAGATTAAGTTGATACACTACGTATGCATCTAGTTCAAATTACACTATCAAAATGACAACTAACTTCGTACCTTTAGGGCTCTGTTATTGCCCTTTTAGACCATTGGGCTACAATTTTGAAATTGCACAGGTTTATGTGCGTAGAATCTACTCAAACACCTGCATATTGTTTATGATAAAACAAAGGGCTGCATTCTGTTTATCAAATTGTATATTTGTAATAAATGAAAATAGGCAAGGATAAAACACAAATTTACAAAATATAGTACACATGAATGAATACATTATGTATTACTCGGTTTTTGAGGGACAGAATGTTTACATTACCCAAAATCCACAAGGAAATTGGAATAAATAAGCAGCAAAAAAGGAGGGCCTCATCTCAACATACAGAAAACTGAATAATTCAGAGGGCCTATAGATAAAGATAACACTATTTACAGCAAGCAATCTGTCTTTGCTGGTAATCTCCTAAAGAAATTTGTTGGTGAAGAAGGATACTTACTGCGAAACCTCGGATGCCTCATGGTATAAAAACCAGCAAGAAGAGCCATAACATTGAAAGGAATAGCATACAGAACAAATGCAGCAAACAGGCAGAATGTCAGAAATAAAACTGAGGCTCGTGGATCTCGCCAACTTAGCAATGCTTGAGCCCTTTCTCCCTGAGCAGCAAAATCACCCAACACAGATTGCACTTTGGCACCTATGCTCCTGAGTCGATCATACCTTCTTCGCACCACGTCTGTGCCTTTTGTTGTAGGAAAGGTGTCAAACTCTTCATCAAGTTCATCAGGGATTGTGTTGTCAGCATAGGAGATCCTTGTGTCCATGTGAGGAGGGTTTTTTGGCCTATACCGATAATTCCATAGCCCGATCAAAAACATGTACAAGAACACTGTAGGAAGAATGAGGTCAGGGAAACAAACCAACATCACAAAGAGCAAATGAACGAGGACAGTTGTAACCGGGTTTTTCCAAGCACACACATCTGTGAACCATTTCCCGATTGCAATCAAACTTTGAAGTAGGGAGATTATGCGATAGAAGTTAGCCTTGCTTCGCCTCATGCTCCAAAAATGTGCATCAACATCACACATATACTCCACCACTTCCTTCTTCAAAGGGGGTTCGGCTCTGCTAAGCCTAGAAGCTAAGACATTTGTAGCATGAACCCTCAAAGTATTAGTCTGCATCAAAGACAATGGTCTAGAGTAATGCATCTTAGGGAGAAGCGGCTTTCCATACAAAAACATCATGTTGGTCATGTTTGTGCAAGAGAATCGAATAGCCAAATGCAACTCTCCCATCTTCTTCAAACCCGAAGGTTGGAGGACTAGCAGGGGATATGAGTGAGTATATACACGGCCTGCTTCAAGGGTGGAGATTCGAATCCTCACTTTTCCGATTTTAGTGTCTTTGTTGCCAGCAATATGTCCGTTGTCAAAAACACCAATGGTAAGAACAGTTGCAGGATCATATACTTCCCATGTGTACTGCTCATTGTACTTGGGGCTAAGACTGTCGATTATTGTTCGTGTACGAACCCATTTCTGACAGTACTTAGCCACACAAAAGGTATCCGCAGTTCCCCTTCCATCTCTTGTTTTCATAGGGTGGAGTCCATCAGCATTCAGTATTCCAAGTTCAAGAACACCAATTGAAGATTTCCACAGTTGCTTCATACTTGGTCTGAGATCACTACTATAGTAAGTAGATTCATTAAGGACATGGTAACCGCCATCAAGGCTTATACGAGCATGTAACTTACTAGCAAACTTAACTTTCTTCTCCTCTTCAGTGTCAGAAGAGCTCTTTCTGAAGGTTGATCCATTGAGTGGGAAAATTCTTATCATCAGGGCGCTTGCGAACAGCTGCTAATGGAATACTGACCTTGCCAAGCGTCTCTTCTTTGCCCTGACCTTTTCTATCTTCAACAGTGATGATCAAATGCTCATCGAAAGGCTCAGCAGCAACAAACATCAGATCCTCATTCCAAAAGGGGTTTCCCATCCTGCTTTGAACAGGCTTTGTGCTTAATGTTTGGGCTCCAAGCTGCGCCTTTATATAACAATCAGGAAACCGGCCTTTGTCTGAGGTAATCAAGTCTTGAGCCTCGATTACATTGACTCGAAGGTACCACAACCTGGGTGAATGGTAGACTTTTGAACGGATATGGTTAGCAGCTGAAGCTGACATATCAGGAGGAGTAATGGCATCAGAATGCCAAGCATCAGTAAATGCCTCATCTGCTTGAGTACCATACCAGACCGCGAGCATCAGTTCCCCATTATTATTACTCCTATCTCCTTTCTTGTCTTCAAGACGATACCATTGAGGAGCCAACGGACTATCAGGTGGAACTCTAGTCGGGACTTCATGAAGATCAAATCGGATGACTCCAACAAAATCATCCTTCATCAAATCCTTATCTTTCACCTGAACTTCCAAAACAGATGCCTGAAGACGCTCCCTAGAGAAGGCAAACACCTCGTTCCATTCAGGATCTTTCTTTTTCTCAAAATACTTGGTAACCCCTTTGTAATTCCCAACTTTTACCTCTACATATGGATCAAG